GCACCTAGCCATCCTTTTTCTTTTTAAAGATTTTATATAATTTCTGTGTGTGTATGTGTGTGCATATGCACATCTGTGTATGTAAGTGTAATTTCCACAAAGACTAGAAAAGGGTGTTGGATTCCTAGGAGCAAGAGTCATAGGCTGGGGCTAGAGAGATGGCTTAGAGGTTAAGAGGACTGACTGCTCTTCTAGAGGTCCTGAGTTCAATTCCCAGCAACTACATGGTGGCTCACAACCATCTGTAATGGGATCTGATGCCCTCTTCTGGTGTATCTGAAGAAAGCAGTGGTGTACTCACATAAATAAATCTTTTTTTTTTTTTTTTTTTGGTTTTTTTCGAGACAGGTTTCTCTGTGTAGCCCTGGGTGTCCTGGAACTCACTTGGTAGACCAGGCTGGCCTCGAACTCAGAAATCCGCCTGCCTCTGCCTCCCAAGTGCTGGCATTAAAGGCATGCGCCACCACTGCCCGGCAAATAAATAAATCTTAAAAAAAAATTTACAGGCCATTGTGAACCACTTGATATGAGTCCTAGGATTTGAACTTGGGTCCTAAGAGCAGTCCATGCTCTTAACCACAGAACCTTCCCTCTAAACCCTAAACTCTATCCTGCTCTCAATTTCTGTTGTTGTTATGGTTTGCAACAGGGTCTCACTGTGTAGACCAGGCTGGCCTCAGATTCACAGAGACCCTCCTGAATGCTGTCATTAAAGGCTTATTCAACTGCGTCCAGAGAAGACGTTGAACTTCTGGTCCTTCTTCCTCCAGTTCCTGTGTACCGGGCTTATAAGTGGTGCATTGGAGCCACCATTTCCACTATTGTCATGATAGAGATGGAACCCAGGGCTTCAAGCATACTCCATTCTCAGTTAAAACTGTGGTTACTCATCAACTCAGAGGCTCGACAGCATACTACCTAAGCTGCAAGCTGGATCTTAGCTAACCTGCAGGGGGGCGGGGCTGCTGAGGCACATGCTTCCTGAGATGTCACCCACGGGGAGATGCAAGTGTGACTTCATCACAGGGAAGCTCAACTGAGAGCTGTCCAAATCTGGAAGTAAGTCATTTTAATTAATTAATTTAGAGACAGTGTCTTACGCAGACTAGGCTGTCTGCAGATGACCCTGAACTTGGGCCCCTCTTGCCTGTGCCAAGTGCTGTGATCACAGGTCTGTACCGCCATCCTCAGTGTATGCAGCATGGCTGGAACCCAGGGCTTCGTAAGCACTCTACCCACTGAGCAACACTTTCACTTCTCTCCTTCTTCACCCACTCAAGACAATGGCCGAGGGTGGCCTATGACTTGCTGTTCCTTCTCCCTCTTCATGGGGTCTGCTGACCTTCCAGGAGACACATAGGTTCAAGATACAGGACCTCTCATTTCCCAAAATGAGTGTTGGTGGCCATTCCTGTGATACTGTGGGGGATCTCCTGAGTCAAACGTGACTGTTTTTCCTACATATATGTGCACTATTTCCTTCTGTCTGTCTTGTGTCCACGGGTATACGCATCCTTGCCACTGTGCTTATGTGCAGGTTAGAGGAATACTTCAGGAGTAACTCTCTCCGTCTATCATGGAGGTTCCAGGGATAGACCTCAGGTTGTTAGGCTTAGGGACAAGACAAACTCCTTAACCCACAGAGCCATTTCATAGGTCCACCCCACTCCCTTTCCTCTGTTTGAAATAGGGCCTCACTATGTAGCCCTAGCTGGCCTGAAACTCACTATGTAGACCCAGCTGGTCCAGTGACTTGTGGGTGATCCTCCTGCTTCTGCCTTCCCAGTGCTGGGATTACAAGTGTGGAGCACCATGCCCAGGTTCTACCTTTCTTGAGACAGGGTCTCACTGTGTAGCCTAGGCTGCTCTTAAGCTGGACACCTTCCTGCCTCAGCCTGCCACATGCTGGGATTATATAGACACTGGAACCGTGACAGAGGCCAAAGATGCACCATGTAGATGACCTGACAGAATGTGGTAAGAAATTAGAAAGGAAGGGATCTGGTTTTATCAACACCGTGATGGGTAAAAGGGTATTTTACTCAATTTACCCTTTTAGCAGTCTGGTAAGAATAGATCCCCAGATGCCTGCACCCTTGCCTCCTGTCTTCCTGGCTGAGCCTCATGCCTGCTGCTCCCTCAGCCTTCCTATGTGCTTGCACTCATCTCTTCAGCCCCTCCCTCCACTCTCAGAGGTGGGGGAAGAGCCCTAGAAGGCAGGGCTAATGGCCATTGCCAAGTTTCTTTTTCTTGCCAGGGCAGAAAACTCTGTAAAATCTTGGGAGATGACAAGCATACAATGTCACCAAGGGAACCACTTCCTGGCAGTTCTCCTGAAAACCTCCTATATCCCTGTGGGTCTGTAGCCCATGCCTGAGGTTCTAGCACTCAGGAGACTGAAGATGGAAAGTTCTAGGCTAGTCTGTGATACATAGTTGATATCGTTTCCAAAATGTGCTGAGATCACAGCTCACAATGCCATGAAAGCCTGGTGTATGTGCTGCTAGGGGTGGGACCCAGGGATTTGTGCATTCAGCTATGTACACTATCCTGAGCCACAGCCTGAGCTCTGCTGCGGTCTGCAGTCTCTTGGCTTTACACATGGCCCCTGCGTGGCTCTGTACACCACCGCCCGGCTCTGTAGCCTTTTAAAGACAGGACTTGCTATGTGATCCGGTCACAACCCCCCAGCCTCAGCCTCCCTGGATTCCAGGCCTTTCATCTATACCTTGACCAGCGTGAGCCGCCTGCTTCCTGAAGGCCTGAATTACTCACACAGTCCAGCAGCCTCTTTAAGAGGGATTTGACTAGCCGGGTGGTGGTGGCGCATGCCTTTAATCCCAGCACTTGGGAGGCAGAGGCAGGCGGATTTCTGAGTACGAGGCCAGCCTGGTCTACCGAGTGAGTTCCAGGACAGCCAGGGCTACACAGAGAAACTCTGTCTTGAAAAACCAAAAAAAAAAAAAAAAAAAAAAAAAAAAGATCATGGGCTGGAGAGATGGCTCAGGGGTTAAGAGCACTGACTGCTCTTCCAGAGGTCATGAGTTCAAATCCCAGCAACCCAGCAACTACATGGTGGCTCACAACCATCTGTAATGGGATCTGATGCCCTCTTATGGATGTCTGAAGACAACTACAGTCAGTATACTTAAATATAGTAAATGAATGAAGGGAGTGGGGCGAAGAGGGGAAGAAGAAAAAAAAAAGAATTAAAAGAAAAAGAAAAAAGTAAGAGGGATTTGACTTATTGTGATCACCACCGGAGATGCACGGGCCACACTCAGGAACTCAGCCTCCAAGTCTTGCCACAGGCTGCACACTTAGCAAGTGGCTAGGAAAAGAAAGACCAAGGACAGGCACACTATCCCCAAGGTGAACGTGGCCCCGGTAACACCACCAATGCCATCATTGTGGAGCAGAATGAGTGATGGGCAGAGACCTTAGGGAACAAATCATGTCCTCCTGTTAGGTTCACACAGCACCTTACCCAAGGCCACTCCCTAGATACAGACATGGGACTGTTATCCTCAGCCTCAAGGTTTTGTTTTTTCTTGCTCCCACAGAACAGAAATGTTATGTGGCACAGACCTAAGGGGGAAATTGGCAATCTTTCACTAATTTTTTTCTTAGCGGGGAAGGGGGACACAGGAAGACAACAAAGCTGGGGCCTAAACCCCGTGCCTTTTGCATGCTAGCGTTCTCTCACGGAGCTACCTCCCCAGCGGCGTTGATCAAGTCTCACCTGTGGCTTGGGGGTAACACAGAGAAACAAATTTCACGAGAGTCCCCAAGAATGAAATCTTTTTGGCATCAGGCAACCAGTCGTATTGCACGGTTCAGGGTTACAGGGAAAGCACCACTTATTATACAGACATGTGGCGGGGACAGGGCAGATCTTGCTCAGGGCTTCCGGATAAAACTACAGCAAGTGTTCTGGGAGTTGGCATCTGGAAGGTAACTTCTAGAAATGAGCAGGCACCCAGGGGATTCTGGAAAGCACTTAAATTTCTGGTTTTCACAGGAATCTTTATCCTGGGGCCTCTTTCTTGGCTACTGAAAAGCGTGTCTTTTTCTGGACCAAAGGAAAGGGGTGTGTTGATCACTGGCCAGGCTGGAGGGTGTCAGGAGGTTCAAAGGAACACCACTAGAGAAAGTCAATTCAATCGTAGACCAATAGTTCAAAGGTCTAGAAAGGCAGGTTTCTTGGGCTGGATCCCTTTCCTCCTTTCCTCCGATTAAATACGAAAGCCAACAAAGACGAAGATAAGGAAAAGGACGACAAAGAAAGTGGCATCTCGGGTGTCGTCCCAGCGGGGCCCCTCGTTGGCTTGGTCCTTCTGCTTTTTGCGAAGGGCTTCCCTCCGGGCGCGCAGACGCCGCTCTCTCTCTAGCTGTTCTCCGTAGTGCGCCTGGTAGAAGGCGTCAAAGTCGAACATAGTGCGACCGTCGCCGGGAGAAGTCTGAGAGCCACCGTGAGCCCGAGAGGTGCAGGGAGGAGGGCGAGGAGGAGTGGGATCGGCCACGGGCGTCTTAGAGGGCTTGACACCAGGTCCGCGCAGGTCCTGGTCGCTGAGCAAACCTCTGTCATACTTGCGACGGAGGATGGCACTGCCCAAGACCAGATAAGCTTCGGAGATGCGCGTGAAGCGCTCGGCGGCCTGGGTGCTCCCGGGATTGCGATCCGGATGGTAGAGGAAGCTCTGCCGGTAGTACGCCGCTTTGATCTGTGCCTGCGTGGCAGTGGAGGGGACGCCCAGCAGCTCATAGAGGGCGGTGCGGGAGTAAGTCCTCACTCGCGAGCACATGCCCGTGGCCGAACTTTGAGGCAACCCCCGGACTTGCCACAGTCTCCATAGCGGTGACAGGAGCCACCCCAGGCAGCGCGCGGCCGCCATGTTGTGGTGGGGCCAGGGCGGCGCCGAGGCAGCCAATGGAGGCCTCGAATCGTGAGCGGCGTCCCCGCCTTATAGCCAATCAAATAAAAGGAAAGGCGGGGAAAGTTTAGCCTGAGTCGGTCGCAGATTGATGACGTCAGAAAATTGCGCTTGTGTTCGCCGGTCCCAGCGTGTTGCCGTACCTTGGAGATGGCTTCTCGTAGCCGGAGACCCGAACACAGCGGACCGCCAGAGCTGGTGAGAGCCCGCCAGGTTTTGGTCTTTATCTAGAATGACTGCTTTTGGATTCTTCCCTTTATACTCCATGTGTTTTTCTCTTCTCAACAGTTTTATGACCAGAATGAAGCCCGGAAATACGTTCGCAAGTAAGGAGAGCATGGCTGTTGAGCGGCATCACGGGGGTCGGGATCGTCCCAATTATGGGTGTCGCTTGGAAAGCATGTAGAATGTGTGTGTGTGTGTGTGTGTGTGTGTGTTTGTGTAAATGGAGTTCTGCCACAGGAAAGTGAGCTTTAAACCATTGAGCCCCTGGGAAGATCTTGCTACCTTGGTACCAGTGTGGGTATATTCATCTCCAGTTTACACTAGGTCGTTTGACAATGTAATTTAAATATGTGGTAAAGTAGACAACAGTTAGAAGATACGAATAGGGTACTGTCATATTGTATAAGTGGTCTGTCACTGAGCTACACCTCCTGCCTCTCTCTTGGGGATTCTAAGTAGAAGTTTTACCTTTGAGACCTTTGAGAATCCCTAGCCATTCACTGGAGGATTCTGAAAAGCACTCTATCATTAGGCTACACCCCCTCCATTCCACAGAAGGAATCAGTACTATCAGAGGGAGGACATACTCATTGTGGGTTTATTGTAATTTATTTAAATGCATGATTGCACTGAGTTGTCATGGCAACCATTGACATAAATAATATCTGAATCCTTTACCTGGTAGTTTATTTGATTTTGTTTATTTGAAACACGGTCTCATATGGCCCATGGTATTGAGCTTGCTGTGTAGTGGAGGTGACTGAATTCCTGACCGGCTTGTCTGCACCTTACAAGTGGTAAAATTGCAGGCATGGTTCTATGGAACACTATTCTGTGGGATTGTTTACCTTGGTTTTTGGAAAGATAAGGTGTGACCATTCTGTTCAGTATGACAGCCAGTAGCTAGCTATTAAAATTCTGTAAGTCTGAATGGCCTAATGTGAAGAAATGAACATACACACCAAATGAAATAAAAAGAATTTAAAGTAAAAAAAAAAAGTATCTCTAGCTGATTATTGCTTCTTTATTTTCATATCTCTTTTGGTCTGGGAGAAATAGGACCCAGAATTCCATAACCGCTCCTATGTTTTTCTACTTCCAGCTCACGGATGATTGACATCCAGACCAAGATGACTGAGCGAGCACTGGAGCTCCTCTGCTTGCCAGAGGGTCAGCCCTCTTACCTGTTAGACATCGGGTGAGGTCCTGGGCCAGGTCCAGTTGTCTGGGTCAGGGTGGAGGGTTTCTGCTGTTCAGTGATGTGATTCCCAATGGGCTGTTTCTTCCAGCTGTGGTTCTGGACTGAGTGGAGATTATATCTCAGAAGAGGGACACTATTGGGTGGGCATTGACATCAGCCCTGCCATGTTGGGTAAGTGTGTGCCTTGCCTTGTACCAGAGTCACTGTCCCCTTTCGTGTGGAGCAGTTGAATTGGATTTTTGCTTGGTTGAGATAAGGTCTTGCTGTATAGCCCAGGCTAGTCCCCAACTTGGGAAACTCTTGCCTCGGCCTTCCAGTGAGATCACAGGCCTGCCCACCACACCTGTCTGCGTCAGCTGTACCCATACTTTGTTTTCTCCCAATGTAGATGCCGCCTTGGACAGAGACACAGAGGGCGACCTGCTGTTAGGAGACATGGGCCAGGGAGTCCCTTTCAGACCGGGTTCTTTTGATGGCTGCATCAGGTGACAGTCTTCACCTTGTACTTTCACTCTCATAGGTCAGCGCTTCCTAAAGTTGGTTGTATAGCAGTCTTTACATCACATTTAAATCACTGGGGCTTGTTACCAAGCCTGGCAAACTTGCGTTTGGTATCTAGAATACACACGGTGGAGAGAAGGAAGATTCTTGAGAATTATCATTTGCTCTCCGTACATGAACCAAGATGCAGACACAGTAAATAAATGTAATTCAACAAACATACATATTCTAAGACTCTTAGATTTACAGGGACAGAGATAGCTAGGGAATAGTTGTGTGTGCGCACATTCTTGTGTTTGTGGGTACAGACAAGTGGCGGCAAGAGAGCACCCTCAGGTGTTGGTCCTCAGACACTACCTTTAGATTCAGACAAGCTCTTGTTGGCAAGCTTCATTTATTCTTATTTCATGCATGTGTTGGCCTGTGTGCATGGGCATGTACCACGTGCATGCCTGGTCCCTGTGGATGCTAGAGGACAGTGGCCACTCCCCTGAAACTGGAGGTGGTTGTGATCTGCTGTGTGCGGGGTGGGAACTGAACCTGTGTCCTGCAAAAGCAGCAAGTACTCTTAATCACTGATGGTCTCTCCAGTCCTGAATGCTGGTGACCAGCTTTGGAGTATTGAAATTACTGTTGGAAATAGGAGATGTTGCTGCCCGTGGTTGTAATGCCCACACTTGGGAGGTGGAGGCAGGAGGATTAGCAGTTCAAGCTCATTGTCTGCCACATGAGTTGGAGGTTAGGCTGCATGAGATCCTGGCTCAAAGTTAGAGCAATAGTAATCAAGAAATAGGAAGCGTGCCTGCTTGTGTATGTGTGTGAATGTGTGTATGTGTGGGGTGGCAGGGGGGATTCTGTTTTGTTTTTAAAGACAGGATCTTACTATGTAGTGCTAGATCCTATGTGTCCCAAACTCCCTATGTGACTCACAGAGATCCACTTGCCTCTGCCTCCCAAGTGCTGGAATTAAATGTGTACGGCACCTGGCTGCTGTGTCTGTTTTGTTTTGTGGTGTTGGAGGTCAAACTGAAGGCCTTGCTCCTGCCAGGCTAGTGGGATGGTATTTTGTGACTGGGTGAAGAGGGGTGGGCCATAAGTAAAGGACATAACTGCAGAAGGTTTGGTATCGGGGTGGCTTCAAGAGACTTAATAGATACAGCAGACAGATGTAAGGGGCAGCTGAGTGGCTGGGCGGAAGTGCTGTCTGGGCGGAAGTGCTGGCTGGTGGGTTCCTTTGGTGGGAGAGAATGAAGGTGTAGAAAACGTTTTCCTGGAATGGCTGAAGGAAGTAAGTTCTTCCCCAAGTGGCCCTGTGCTGTAAAGAAGTGACCAAGAGTGGACTGGCCTCTGCAGGATGGGAACTCTTGGCAGCAGATTAGGGTAGGTGGTGGCAGAGCCTCAGGAGGCCTTTGGGGAAGGCATCGGTCCCACTTAACGGGATCTCTTCCTTTTCAGCATCTCTGCCGTGCAGTGGCTCTGCAACGCAAACAAGAAGTCGGATGTCCCCGCCAGGCGCCTCTACCACTTCTTCTCGTCTCTGTACTCTGCCCTTGTGAGTATAAGCTCCTTCCTCTGCATGTCTGTCTGTCTGTCTGTCTGTCTGTCTGTCATTCTGTCATTCTTACTGTCTTGTAAGTTCAAGGATGAAGGGTCCCATGATAAGGCTATTAGGAAAGGGACACACGGCCTGTGGAGGCTCAGCTGCGTGCTGTGGTGTAGACATGGAATCCTCACATGTGGAGGCAGAGACTGGACAGTTTGGAGTTCAAGACTAGTCTTCGATACATAGGAAGTTCAAAGTCAACCAGAGATGTCTCAAAAATGTAAAAGAAACAATGCCCAGGTGCAAAAGGCTGACATTGTGATGAAGCCCAGGGCCAGCACAGCCACAATTGGGTGAGGAGAGACGTGTAGCACACAGCGGTCGCCTGCCAGCGTGCTGTCCTCTACAAGGTCCTGCTTCTCCTCTTATTTATTCATTTATTTGTTTATTTTATGATGAGTACACTGTCTTCAGACACACCAGAAGAAGACATTGGACCCCATTACAGATGGCTGTGAGCCACCATGTGGTTGCTGGGAATTGAGCACAGGACCTCTGGAAGAGCAGCCAGTCCTCTCTGTGCTTAACCACTTAACACATCTTAACCACTGAACCATCTCTCCAGCCCTTCTTTAACTTTTTGTTTGGTTTAGAAAAAAAAATATTTCTTAGCTGGGTGGTGGTACACACCTTTAATCCCTGCACTTTGGAGGCAGAGGCAGGCAGTTCTCTGAGTTCAAGACCAGCCTGATCTACAAAACTGTTCCAGGACAGACAGGGCTACACAGAGAAATCCTGTCTCAAAAAACAAACAAGCAAAAAATCATGCCACGCATTGTGGCATATACCTTTTTCTGGTTCTTGTTTGTTCCTTTCTTCTTCTTCTTCTTCTTCTTCTTTTTTTTTTTTTTTTTTTTCCCCGAGCCCGGGTTTCTCTGTATAGTCCAGGCTGTCCTGGAACTCACTCTGTAGACCAGGCTGGCCTCAAACTCAGAAATCCGCCTGCCTCTGCCTCCCAAGTGCTGGGATTAAAGGCGTGCACCACCACCACTCGGCCTGTTCGTTTCTTCTTCTTCTTTTTTTTCTTTTCTTATTTTCTTTTATTATATTACATGTGTGAATGTTTTGTCTGCATGTATGTCTGTGCACCGCATTGGTGCTTGCTGCCTGCAGAGGCCGGATGAAGGCAGCAGATGTCTTAGATCTGGGGTTACACATGCTTGTGGGCTGCCACGTGGGTGCTGGGAATGGATCCCTGGTCCTCCAGAAGAGCAGCAAGTGCTCTTAATCACTGAACCATCTCTCCAGCCCATGGCGAATGCCTTTAATCCCAACACCTACTAGGTTATTTTTGTTTCTTGTCCCTTTTCCTTTGAGACAGGGACTGTGTAGACCAGGCTGGACTTGAGCATGTAGTGATCCTCCTGTCTCTGCCTCCCGAAGGCTTATGTTACAAACATGCACCACCTGGCCCCAGTTTTTCTTCCTACAAGTGTAAGTTAGATGTCTGCTTTACCAGCATGCACCCCAGAAGTTCAGGAGTCTTTTTTCGGTGGTTATATTCTGAGCCATTAGAGTGGAGCTTTGTCTGTGACAAGAGTGCCATGGTCATGACATTTCTGTTGCCTATAGGTTCGTGGGGCCCGAGCCGTCTTGCAGCTGTACCCCGAGAACTCAGAGCAGGTGAGCAGGTAGCTAGGGCCACAGGGAGGGGAGCGTGTAGAACATAGAACTGTTTTCTCCACTTGGCTGCCTTCTTGCCACTGGGCACCGTGACAGAACAAGGAAGTCATGCTGCCTGGTGGAAACGAGGGAATGGGTACCCTTGTGATGGCACTGTGACCCCAGATGGCTTCCCTCCCGAGAGGGGTGTATCTGTAGGTATAGCTACAGTGTTGTCTTCTGTTGGCAGGAGAGATGGTGGAGAGCCCAGGGTTGGCTCAGTCTCGTCTAGTGTGCACTGGGACCTGGCCTCCATCTGCATCCCTGAGAGAGAAGGAGGAGTTAAGGTGGTGTCAGGCGATGCTCTTGTGTTGCCCATTACATAACCCAATGGGGAAATGGGGCAGGCAGGAGGCCCAGCAGCTCCCCCTGCCCGTGTGGCCTAAGTCAGGGTTCTGTATTACCAGAACCAAGTCTGTTGTAGTTGGCCTCACTCATTCCTGAGGGCTGCGAGATGGGCCACTGGACCACACTGGCAGGAAGTAAACAAAACTGGTTTGTTCTGAGACTCCCTCTGTGGGGCTGCTGAGACTGGCCAAGGCCTAAATTCTGCCTTGGTGGCTTTCCAGGCCTCGAGAGTTGGAAAGGTCTAGCTAGAGAGTGCTTTAGATTCTCACCAGTGAGGGCTGAGGCTATCTTCAGCTTTTGTCCCTTTCTTGTCCCTCTGTCCATTCCTGACCCCCCTCCTCAGCTGGAGCTGATCACAACCCAGGCCACAAGGGCAGGCTTCACTGGCGGTGTGGTGGTAGACTTCCCCAACAGTGCCAAAGCAAAGAAGTAAGTGCCGGGGGCCGGGCGGTAGCTCAGTGGGAGAAGTGCTTGCTTTCCAAGCATGAGGGCCTGAGGTCCCGTCCTCAGCACTCATGTCAAAGAGCCAGGTGTGGTGGTGCTTGCTTGTAATCCTGGTGCCCTGGAAATGAAGATAGGCAGATCTCTGGGGAATCACTGGCCGGCTAGCCTAGCCTACCTGGTGAGTTCTCAGATAGTGAGACACCCTGTCAAAGGATGGGATGGGCGGTGACTTGAGGAATGACAGCTGAGGCTGACCTCTGACTTCATGTGTATGCACATACACAGTAAGTGTCTGCACAGCGCTAGGTCCTTTCAGATTACTGAGTAGACAGAGGAATGCTGGGTGGGTAGGCAGGGCCACAAAAGATGGAGGACAAGGACTCTGTGCTGCTAGGCCTTGTGAGCCAGGCTTCCTACTGCCCTCTCGTTTCAGGTTCTACCTCTGTCTGTTTTCTGGGCCATCCACCTCCCTGCCAAAGGTAAGGAAGGGCCTGGGGCTTCCAGGCCACACCTTTTTTTCCCAACACAATAGCATGCTGGGATGGCTGCTGTGGTCAGAGTTCCGCTGGTCCCCTGCATAAAGAACCCAGCTGTCTGAGACTTCTGCAGGTCCTGGGAGGGAACTCCCATCCCTGTAGCCTGTCTTTCAGGCCTGTTGGGCTTACTCAGGTCCGGACGCACATGTTTCTGTATCGGGATAGTGAGCTCCAGGGTGACTTAAGAGCTTTGTTTCCTGCAGGGGCTGACTGAAAGTGAGGATGCAGACCAGGCCTGCGAGTCCACTTTCACCAGTGAGCGGTAAGGTGCATAGGTGCAGGGACCAGGCAGGGGCTGGGGCATTACTCTCTGCCTTCACCTGAGCCTTACCTTAGACACAGCTGCAGCACCAAAGAGGTGTTACAGCCAGATGTGCCTCTTAGACTGTGTCTGCCCCCTCTTCAGGATGAGCACTGGGGCAGCCTTAGCTTCCTGTGTGAACCTGCACATGCCCCTTCTCAACGCACTCGGCAGGGTGCTCCTGTACAGCTCCCCACACCCTCCCCCAGCCACTTTCACCTACTGCCCGGGTCCCTGACTTCCCTGGCTCCTGCATCCCCATCCCCATCCTCCTAAGTCCTTCCTGTACACACACAGCTCCCAACAGATCAGATACTCAGACCATTCAACAGAGCCCAGCCTACAGGAAGGGCGTGTCACCAGCAGATCCTCGTGTAAGATCCCTGGAGGGGACCGGATGCCTCGTGCTTCCTCTGCAAAGCTAGAGTCCCAAAGCTCAGTGGAGAATGAGGAGGGGCCACAAGCGGTCGAGGGTCAGGGGCCAGGCTCTTGCAGCAAGCTCCTGAACCTGAGCCTCTCACCTGCCCCGTTCCTGTTTCAGGTTTCCACACGGTCTCCCCCACCATCCCTGGTGCCCGAGGTCACTTCGTTTTGCCTCCATGACTTTCTCTTTCCTGTGTTTGGTGACTCCCATCTCATCCCCACTCACACTCTGCCCACACGCTTGCTCTTTGGTTCTCCCATGTTGGTAGTAATCTCTGACTGCACCTGGCCCCTGACCCCTGACCCTCGCCCACTCAGGGTCCTTTCTTACCTCCCCTGCTCTCCCCCCATTGCACCTTAGGACTCTTCTAGATGTTTCTTTTCAGCTTTACAGAGGAAGCACAAGGCATCCAGTCCTCTCCATGCATCTCAGGGTCCCTTAGCTTCACACACATGTCAGTGAGTGGAATGGCTGTGAGCCCATCCCTGTCCTTCTGGGCTATTCCATCCCTCTTCCCTTTCTTCCTCACCCCACTTAGTCCATTGCTTCCCTCCTTGTCTTCATGGCCTTCATGTCTTCCGTCACAAGCCATGCTTACGCATCCTGCAGTGTTGATGGTCGTGTGTCACTGCAGCTGTTACTGACCTCACTCCTGCTGTTCCCCATCACAGAGGAGGCCAGGCTCCTGACTGGCCTTTGGACCAACCTGGGACTTCCTTCCACGGCTCCCCTCTGGCCTCACGTAGCCTGCCTTCCCTCCTGGTGGCCTGGGTAGCTGCACACGGCCCGCTGCCACCACAAATGCTGGGTAGCTTTTGGACCTCTGCTCTGGCTCTGCTGTGGAGGGTTTGGCAAGGCTAGGTCATGGGTTTGGCAAGGCTAGGTCATGGCTCTTGCCAGCTCCCAGGGGCCTCAGGCTATACTGAAACAGCCAGCAGCTCTCCTTTGAGCTAGGCTTGATGATTTCATCCCAGCAGCCAGTGGGAATGTGGCTGTGGGTGGGTGAGGGGGCACCCTGTCTTCCTTGGGCCTCTTGTCCATTGAGCTATGGGGATCATGTTCCTCCTCAGCCAGGGCTGGAGGCGGAGATCAGCCTGTGAGGAGCATTCTCGTCAGGACTGCTGTGAGCGGGCAGCCTTGTTTTCCGGCCTCAGACATTGACAGAAGCTTCACTGGGGTGTGGGGGTGTGGGGGTGTGGGGGTGGACACTGGCTTCTCTAGCCACCCTGAATTCCCAAACCTGAGGAACACCTTAAGTGGCAACACTGGACTGTGCAGGTACCATGACTTCCCTTGGACACTACCAGGCTTTTGAGTTACTCCTTCCTGGAGTCACTCCATGGACCAGGTGTGTGCCAGATCCAAGGCCAGCTACCCAGTGACACCTTGCAGGGGCAGGGACCACACCCCATAGCTTTGCAATAAGCCAGGGTTTTGGTTCTGTGGCTGAGGAGGAGTCCAGGGCAGAAATCACCGCCCCTGTGCACAGCTTAGCCGTCCTCTCGCTCTGTCTCTGGCCAGGGCTCCACACAAGAAGGCGCGGAGGGTCCTGGTGAAGAAGAGCCGGGAGTGGGTCCTGGAGAAGAAGGAGAGGCGCAGGCGCCAGGGCAAGTGAGTAGCAGCTGGGGATGGAGGCTGGCCGGGAGGGGGATGCGGCTGCCAAGAAATCATCTGCCTTTGAGGTCTCAGAGCTCTTCATTCTCCTAAGTGCCTCTGTCTGTCTGTCTGTCTGTCTGTCTGTGTGTCTGTGTGTCTGTGTGTCTGCCTGTCTGCAGGGAGGTCAGACCTGACACCCAGTACACTGGCCGCAAGCGCAAGCCCCGCTTCTGAGGGCACTGCATCTAGTCAATTGGAGAGCCTGTCCGCCCACACCTGCATCCAGTCCTGCCGACTGCCCTGGGCACCCACTCTGTTCAGAGAGTGGGAGCTGTCCAACCCAGGACCTGCCTCTGAGGAATTTTCTGGACTGAACTGTTTACCTCAGCAGCTAGCAACATAGTATTTTAGAAAAGTTGGGAAGCTCTCAAAATATTTTTTCACTAAGAGTTCCAGGGATCTGGGTTTGGCAGCTCAGATCCTGTAATCCCAACACCCTCCCGGGAGTCTGAGACAAGAAGATGGAAAGTTCCAGGCAAGCCAGTCTGGGCTACACAGCAAAAACCTGTCTTAAAAAAACAAAAAAAGAAAATTTCTAAGGATGTTTTATTTTGTCCTAAATGCATTAAATTTCTTTCTAAGTAACTGGTGTTCCTAGCTCTGCATGAGCCTGTGTCTCAGGTTCCTTTGTTGGGGACCACTCCGTGGCTCCCAGGCAGGAACTCGATCTAATGCCTGGAATGGACAGAAGCATTCTTGCCACTTTTGAAGGGCATAGGTGGATCCTGGAATTTGGACCCATCTTGCATGTCACTTTGTCACACGGTTTGGAATGGGGTCTGGGAGTTTGAGGTGTATCCTGCCTCAGGTCTCGGGCACTCCCAAGCCTCTTGCCTCAGGTGGGAAGTGTTAAATATCTTAGCACTTAGTGGCCTCAGATTCTGGGATGTGTGGTACCCAGCAGCCATCCAAGATGGCAGGGAAGGGAAGTGGGGTGCTGAGGACATTTGATTGCTATGTTCTGTGAGCCCTAGGATGGAGACTATACCTGGGCGTGGCACAGCAGGAAGGTACTGAACAGGAGGGAGGGCAAGGGGCCCACGGCCTTAACCCCTGGAGGGGCATCATCCCAAGGACCAGATCCGAGACCTAGGCTCACTGGGTACAGTTCCCGCCAAGCAAATGAGGAATTGAGATGCCCAGGACCCGCGTGGAGCCGGATGCAGCGAGGGCACTGTTAGTGTGAGTTAGGCAGAACTCCCCAAACCTCCTGGGTCAGCCGTACCCAGGGAACAGAAGATCTTGCCTGCCAAGGTGACAGGTGAGGACCAAAGTTGTCCTTGATCCCTCACACATGTACACATGCTCAGCACACGTGCACTTTTCTTTCAGGGGCTGGAGCGATGGCTCGGTTATAATCCTCATCCACAGGACCCAAGTTTGGTTTCAACAACTCACATTAGGAGTGCGTAACACCCAGTACCCCAGGTCCAGGGGATCCAACACTCTCCTCAGGCCGCCACAGACACAGACACAGGACAGACATGTACTCATGAATAAATAGCCAGGTATACTCCCTTTTAACCCCAGCACCTGGGAAGCAGAGCAGGCGGATCTCTGAATTTGAAGCCAACCTAGACTATATAGTAAGTTCCAGATCAGCCAGCCAGGGCTACCTAGTGAGATCCTGTCTTAAAAACAAGATCTGAGCTGGAGAGAAGGCTCAGTGATGAAGAGCATTTGTTGCTTATGCAGAGAAACTGGAATTGGTTCCCAGCAGTCACACGGGGGCGAAGACTCCATAAATCCAGTTGCAGGGGATCCAACCCACTCTTGCGACCTCTTAGGGCCCCAGGCGCACACATGCATGCTGGTAAAACATTCATATAGCTGGAGATCTGGAACCTTTGATAAGCAAGGGCCTTGGCTTTCCCCAGGTAAGGATGTGGGGTTCTGAGCCTGTATCAAAAGCCCAGATGTTACCTACTGACCACCCAGAGGCAAATGAAGGCCGTGTATTGAGGAGGGAGGAGTCCTCCATCTCGGAGCCTCTTCCCCGTCAGCACCTCTGGCTGATCCCACATTTCCTACACTGCAGGTGGAAAAGACGTTCCAAACAGAGGCTCACTACAGATACAAATGTTTATTCTACATAAAAATTTCACAAAATGGGCAGCTGGTTGTACCAAGACCTTTGGTGAAGGGGTAAGGGGGAGGGGTGGGTGGCCGTGAGAGAAGGCAGCACGGACAGTGGTCACAGTCACTGGGCAGGAGCAAAGCTGAGGGAAAGGGGGCACTTGGCCACGGCCCCAGCTCCCGCTGCATGCAATCGCATGCATACTCCTTGCCTGTGGACGAGAAAGGGGTCCTGGGGCAGGGGGTACAATTTTGACTCTGAGAAGCCCCAAGATGGCAGGGGAGGGAAGTGGGGAGCCCCCTCCCCAGCTGGCTGCTGAATACTGCATCCAGGACACATGACACCACGTGGCACATCAACGGGAGACAGGGCAGGGTGAGACTGCAGGCCCAAAGTGACACCTGGCTTTTCAGAACACAGAGGAGGGAACCGCTGTCTGCAACATGCAACTCTGGCCATAACTTAACATGCCCGTTAGACTGTGGGCCGAGGACTATGGCCTACTCCACCTCTCCAGCTCAAAGCAAGGCTGGGGATGGCACCACTAAGCTTCTTAGCAAAGGATCACTAGGCTCAGGCCCAGCCCAGGAATGACTCCCAGGGCTGTGGTAAGGGCAGTTGAGGCCAGAGGTGTTGTCAGGCTTTGCCCAAAGAGGGAGTACTGGGTGCTCCTAACACACCAGCAGCCATGGCACCCTGAGCCTCCTGGCAGTGGGCAGCTAACAAAGACTCAGTGCTGAGCTAACCCCACCCCTAACCTGAAAAGCAGCACCATGTGATCAGCTGGTCCCCACCCTCCAGGTGCCTTGGCATGGTGGGGAAAGCTGGAGAAGCCAGGGGGCAGGGCAAGTGAGGGCAAGGATGGGGTCCAGAAAGAAGCCTGAGTCCCAGAGAAGAGGAGACCCCAGGCTTGAAGAAAGGCGGACCTGGCCAGGGCCCGAGTCTTGCCCACACAGGCCTGTACCCAGCCCCTCTGGCTGTTTCCAATCCTACTCCCCTCTGCCTCCTGTACAGACACACACTGTCACAAGATCATGCATACGACACGGCTTGGGGCAGGGTGGTGGGGACGAGAGCCTCATGGCAGAGAGGGAGCAGTGTTGGATGGGAGGGGAAAGGACTCCCAGCCAGAAGGCAGGAGTAGGGAGGGCAACCCAGCTAGGTGCAGCAGCCAGGGGCCTCCTCGGGGAGACCCATCCAGAATGGAGCGGTGAGTGGGGTGGTTTCTATCCAAAGATGCCCCCGATGGTGGAGGCAATGACGATGCCCAGAATCACACAGCAAATGATGATCATGATCTTCTTCTGCGGGGACACAAAAGGCAGGCCTCAGAAGAGCAGTGGGGGTACAGCGAGGGAGAAACTGGAATGAGGGCTCATGCCTGGGCTGAATAGTAGAGCGCCTGCCTAGAATCCCCTAGTGAGGGGCCGGGGGCGTGGCTCAGTGGTAGAGCCCCTGCCTAGAATCTCCCAGTGAGGGGCTGGGGGCGTGGCTCAGTGGTAGAGCCCCTGCCTGGAATCCCCCAGGGAGGAGCTGGGGGCGTGGCTCAGTGGTAGAGCCCCTGCCTAGAATCCCCCAGGGAGGGGCTGGGGGCGTGGCTCAGTGGTAGAGCCCCTGCCTAGAATCCCCCAGTGAGGGACTGGGGGCGTGGCTCAGTGGTAGAGCCCCTGCCTGGAATCCCCCAGGGAGGGGCTGGGGGCGTGGCTCAGTGGTAGAGCCCCTGCCTGGAATCCCCCAGGGAGGGGCTGGGGGCGTGGCTCAGTGGTAGAGCTTTTCTCTAGCATTTGCTAGATCCTGGGTTCCATCCCCAATATGGAACAAATCAAAACAAAATAAAGAAAACAACCAAAAATCAGTAAAATGAGGACTAGGTTCTGGAGGGTCAGGACTAGGAAAGGGGATGGCCTAGAATGGATGGTTGTTGATAAAGAAGTGAAGGCTATGGTTGGGGCTTCTGAAAACGGGACAAGGCTGGTGGGTCAGAGGATCCCGCGGTCTGGGGACTCCCCGGGGCATGGGCTTAGGCAGAGCTGGCCACTGACCCTGCGCGCCTTGCTCTGGTACTTGACGGCCTTCTTGGTGTCAGACACGGCCCTCTCCACGTAGTCCACGGCGTGCTCCACATTGTACTCGATCCTGTCAATCATCTCCCCCTGCACGACCAGGGGGACCCAAGGTCCAGGCCTCCCTCCTCAGGGCCGGGGGGAGCACAGGGGAGGGCTTCGGGAAAGTACCCTGAAGTCGGAGAGACGGAGAAGAGCTGCGTGAGGAGGGCATGTAGCCTCTCACCTGTGTCACCAGGCCAGGCGTCCTGAGTACAAGACAAGCCGGGAGCCGCTCCCACCTCTCCCAAACAGCAGCCATCCTGGGGTGTGGAAGTGGCCATGCAGTCTCAGACAAGGTTGAGGACCATGCAGAGGGTGGTCAGCTGTGACCCTCGGAAATGGACAGTGCCAGGCAAAGGCAGGACAGGAGCGGGTGGATCACAGTCTGTTGCTTTCCCTGGCCAAGGCTTATCAGGTGAACGTGGGCAAGCCTCCACTCTTTCCATAGGAGGACAGTCCCAGAAAGCTCTCGAATCTGCTATCTTCAAATGTTGAAACTCTCTGGCCAGCCCCCCAGTCTTCTTTGGGTCCCACATCCTTCATCTGACTGTGACACTTCCCCACAAGACTTACAGCCATGTTGGGTCTCAGTCTAAGTCTGACGTCTTCTCAGGGTTTCTCAGGAGGACACAGCAGTTTCCTCAGACCTGACCACTGCTTATATTACACCCAACCCTAGAACCCAAGGGTTCTAGCCAGGCATGATTTTTGAGCCTAGCACTCAGGAGATTGAGGAAAGATGATCAGGAGTTTAGGGCTAGCCTGGGCTACACAGCAAAACTCTTTCTTACAAAGGTAAAAGAAACCACAAAACACACAGCGCCCCTAAAGAGCATGACCAAAACAGACAAACGAACTACAACAAAACCTCAACAAAGCCAGGTGTTGCGACAGCTAAAATTTTAGCACTGAGGAGGCCCAGGCAGGATCCTGAGTTCAAAGTCTAGCTTGGGCTAAACAGCAAGATTATTTCACAAAGGCAAAAGAACAAAACAAAACCAAAACTAAAAAGTCTTCAATAAAAAGCCAGACATGGTGGCTCACCCCTGTAATCCCAGCACACAGGGATGCGGATTGACATAGGTCTGAGGCTAGCCAAGGCTAGAGAGGAAGGAAGACCTGTCTCAAAACAAAAGCAAAGGGCGGGAGTGGAGATGTCACTCAGTCGCTGTCCTGGCTGCTTACAATGTGGGAGGCCCACGTTTGATCTCCAGCACCGTGTCCACTGAATACAGTCAGACAGGCCTGTGGGCCCATCGTTTGGGAAGGAGAGGCAAGAAAATAGTAGTTCAAGGTCCAGAAGGTGAGGTGCATTAGGGGTAAAAGCTGATTGCCACCAAGCCAGAGTTTAACCCTTGGCCTCACATGATAGAAAGACAGAACTTTCTCCTGCAAGCCCGAAT